AAGGAAGGAAGGAAGGAAGGAAGGAAGAGAGATTTTGACAAAAATTGTTTTTCACAAAAACAAAATTCTGAGATAAGGAAGTGTTACTTTGAAGTCTTTGAGTTAACTTTAAATAATTAAGAAAAATTAATGTGAATGACTGGAAGTATCCCCTAAGCGAACACGATGTTTTATAACTAATCGAACCCACATTTTTTCCTGTGTCCTTTTGAATAGGCAACTCAAGATTTTTAAATGAATATTTGTCAAAGCAAATTCCCATTTGAATTCTTTCTGTTCTGTACTACCTTGATTGGTTATCGTTTCAATAAGAGATTCCACTGCACAGTAAATCGGATAGGGCAATTTTGGCCCCAAAGATGGGGCAAAAATTTTAACCCTATAGAGGCCTCCTTAAAGTAGGGCTAGCCATATTCGATAATTTTTTATGCATAATGAATACCTGTTATAGATCGGCCTTCGCCTGTTTCTAAATGTCCCCATACCAAAACCAAGACAGCAATCCGAAAAAACATCACAGTGGTTGATGAATGTCGTCTTTAAGTTTACTAAAAGAAACGGACTTTAGTAATACTGATAAACAGTGGGATTACTACGACTAATTACGATCAACCACTAACACACCTGCGCCAAATCACACAGCCGACACTACTATCAGGTTTTCTCTCACATTCAAGGACCAAAGCCAGTCACGCATGTGACTTGGTAGAAAAACAGCTTCGCTACTTAAGTAACAAGTTTGTGAAAACAAGTAACAAGGTTTTCCCTACCGCGCAAAGAGCAAAGTTCATGTGACTAGGTAACAAAAACAGCTTCGCTACTTAAGTAACAAGGTTAAAGTGCAAGTGGAGCCTGTCTTCACGAGCCAGAAGCTATCGTTTATTAAAAATGAATAAGCTAATCATCACGTGAAATTTGTGGTACTACGCTGGACTTTACGTTTCTTTATACTCAACTCTTAAAAGAACTACATTTAACTCACCTCTGGAAAATTTCTGCTTTGTAGACACGATTTTGTATTATAGTTATAATTTTTTGGCGAGATCTCCGAGCGTAAAAAGTCGAATCTGGAAGCAGGCTATACGATAAAAAAGGGATTACTTGAAATTGTACCATTCTTAAAGAGTGATTTTACTATAGGTCAGTGAAACAAAGTTATTTCAAATAACAAAGTTATAACTTAAGTTTAACAATGGAACAAAATTAGTGCTTGTTTCTGACTTGAAAAAAATTTAAGAGTGGCTGTCCGTAACGGTCGAGAATGGCGGGACAGCGAAGGAATTTTCAAATTTCTCATATTTTGTCAGAAGACAACCTTTGGTAAGCTCTTTTAAAAAATCCAGTTTAAAACTTCGAGCGCTTTTTTATTTTGGCGAATTTTACGAAA